GACTGCCCCGAAATTTAGCACTTTCAAACAAGTTTCCAAGGGTGGGAACTCTGTGAAGGGTTTAGCTGGCTGGTTCTGGCTCAGAGTCTCTCGTGGGGTCATCAAGCTGCAGCCCCCTGAAGGCTTGCCTGGGGCTGGGGGAATCCAATTCCAAGTGCACTGCTCATGGGCGTGTCAGCAGCTTGGAGAAATGCCTTGATTCCTAGCGCCTGGACCCCGCCAAAGCTCGATTGGCAGCTTCCTTTCCAGAACAAGAGACCAGAGAGAAAGGCCCAAGACCAGGCCTCAGTCTTTCATAAACTAATGTCAATGTGACGTACCACTGTCACTTCTACCATCTGCCGTCAGTCACACAGACCAGCCTCCTGGTACAATGTGGAATGAGACCACAGAAGTGGCTGTGACTACTAGGAGTCAGGGTGCTGGGGGCCATCTTGGAGTCTGGTTAGAACATTTTTTAAAAAACCAAATTGCCATTTGGACTGAATTAACATCAACCAACATGTTTTTAGCCCAGTTGCCTCCAGCCAGATGACAGATGGCTCTGGAACATAAACGGGAGCATGAGTGAGGGTATCGCCTCCTTTCCTGTGTGTGGTGAGCTGAACAATGGTCCCTAAAGTCATTCGGGTCCTGATTCCTAGGACCTGTATAACCTCAGATGGGAAAAGCATCTCTGCCTCTCCAGTCTGTGAGCAGCCCGAGGGCACGGATGGGGCCCAGTTCGTCTCCGCACTGCCAGGCCCCTGGTGCAGGGTCATCAGTGACAGGAACTGAGTGGAGGGGTCATCAGTGACAGGAACTGAGTGGAGGGAGGAATGGTGGACGGCAGATGCTTGCTAATGTGGAAACTGCTGGGCCTTGGCAAAGGGCTGTGCCTAGGAAATAGTCTTTGAACCAAAACAAGAATTGACTAGAGGCAGAGGTGAAAGACATGGGCATGCTGAGCCCCCGTTCCCCTACTCTGCTCACTGAGGAGTCAGATGCTGCTGACCCAAGAGGCCCGTGGGCGTTCCCTGGCAGCTCTGCATGGTGTGTCATTAGCAGTGGGCAGCATTTCAGCCTTGCTCAATCCGCAAGTGTGTGACGATGCACTTGGCTGCTACAAACGCTTTGTACTTCAGCCTTTGCCTCCTCAAAGCCTATAACCAGAGATGATAGCAGTGTAGGAAAAGCAGCTAACTGGGTTTCTCACAGAGGATGCACTTGGGGTCCAAAGTTTATGGCCAAGGACTCTGCTCACAAACATTACTACACAGCTTCACTACAACCTTTGCTGGCCCTGATCCTCTGCTGGCCCTTGTGTCTGTCTTTATCCCCTCCTTGTACGGAGGGGAAGACAAAGGCCCAGAGGGAGGAAGTCGCCCAAGGCCACACACCGTGAGGCTGGAGCAGGGCCCAGGCCCCAGACTCTGACTCCCAGCCCTGTGCCCTTCTCACCATCCCTGCCTGCTGCTGTGATTGCTGCCCAGTAATTAACTGTGGATTTAGATTAAAGCCACAGAGCCCAATCCTGAAGGTTACAAAGGGGCAGACCTGTGACAGAGCCTTTGAACCAGGAAGACATAACCTCTTGATTTGGCAACGTAATCTTTTCTTAGGTTTTTAACTTTTTATTATGAGCAAGCTTAAGTGTAATGGAAGACTAGAAAGGATGTAATGAGTCGCCCGTGCCCGGCAGCAGCCAGCTGAAGTATTATACACACCTGCTGCTCTCCGTAGCAGAAGCGCCTTTCCCCTGGGAAACCAGAGGGGACACACGCCACAACCAGAGAGAGGTTTTCAAATTGCACACTGGACCGTGTCAACCTTGCCTCCTCCTCATTCTTTCTGAAACTCTAATAGTAGCCTCTGCAGTGGGAAGTTAAGACAGAGCAGAGGCCCCACCCAGCCCCAGACAACCGGTCTCTGGGCTACTTTTTTAAGTGAGGGAAAAAATAGACTTCTCTCTTGTTGAAGCCACTTTTATTTGGAGTTTTTTCTCTTACATCAGAAGTTCAAAAGCCTGGCTACCTCTTGGAGCCGATTAAGGGGCTTCAAAACAAAGCAATGATGAAACGGGATAAGCAGCCAGAACCCGGGGCATTCCCATTCAGCTAGTCTGGAGCTCAGCGGAGCAGGCAGTGGTGTTTCTGAAAGCTCTCAGGGCAGTGCTAACAGCAGAGACCCACTGCGTAAGGCCATGAGTCTGAACTCGTTCTGATGCACGGCTCAGCTGAAAGGGCTTCTCCCAAAAGTCCCAGGTGGGAGGCACTCAGGGCTCCCTCCTGAGCTTCCGCGGAGTCTCGCACTGGTTTCTGTTAGTGGTATGTGGTGGTTTGTTGCATTCGTTTTGTTGGGGTCAGTCTCCTCGCTTTCTCTGAGCTCCTCCAGGGAGGGACCGCATTGGGTCTGAGGTTTTCAACTGGTGTGCTCCAAGAATTTTTCCCAACATTCATTATCCATTTGGTCAGGGACACTGACCTCTTTTCCCTTAGATTGTCAAACGATAAAAATGACAACTGCCAACACAACAATAGCCATCTGGTGGGGAAATATCAAGATTGTACCTATTTTTTGTCAGATTGGCGAAAAATCCATTTTTTGGCGTGTCAGAATTTTAGTAATTAGTTTGTGTGTGCCGTGAGATGAGAAAGGTCGAACACCGCTGTGTGAGATGCATCCCGTGTGCTGGCTCAGGAGTCAGGGTTCTTACCTGGGCCTCCAAGCCCGGCACGGTCTGGTCCCTGCCCACACCCCAGCCTCCTCCAGAGCCAGCCATGCCTTCGTGATCCCTGCTCCTGCCCTGCTTGTGAATTCCCCGTAAGGCTGTAAATTAATGGCTCAGAAGTCTGGCAGGTGTCGCACTGGGCTGAAATTGCGGTGTTGGCAGAGACGTATCCCTTCTGGAATGCTGGGGGCAGTTTTGCACCTGTGCCTTTTCCAGCTGCTTGCATCACCTGGTATTACCCCAGTGATGAGGGTCTCACTGCCTTTCGAGGGATCCTCCAGGATCCTGCAGACCACATCTGCTTTCACCCTTCAGAGATTTGGAGGGTGTGGCCTTGAACCTTGAGTTCTAGGGAGCAGACACCCCCAGATTCTTCAGCTTCTTCTTATCGGACTCAGCCTGCAACCTCTCCTACCTGTCACAGCTTTCCAGTTGGGTGTGGCCAAGTGAAGACTGAGATTTGCTTAGTCATCGACTCACTGTTAATGATTGAGCAAATAATCGTTAAGTCCATCCACCATGGGGTACCTTGCCAAGTGCCCGAGGAAAAATACTAGGCTGGCTGTGTGCCGTGGTGGGAGTTGAGGGGGGCGCAGAAGAGGCTTTGCAAGGGGTAACACAGTTGCTGGGAAAACAGGAGCACTGATGTGGCAGGAGGCAGGACGTAGTGCCTTCAGTAAAGGACGACTTTTTGCAGCAAGGACTGTGAGCGAGCTAAGGATGACAGGTAACAAAAGACCCCAGGGAGATGTTGCTTAAGGAGAGACCTATGTGAAGCAGTCAGGTTCAAGCAAGAGAATGTGAACGGTACGGGGAGAAGTAGGGGTTTACTGTATTTTGCTGTGTATAATCCACACTTTTTTACCCAAATTTTTTAGGAAGAAATAAGGATGTGTGTTATACATGGGAAGTACTAATTCCAGATCTATATAAATGTTTTTAATTCTTTTATTTATGCTTATGCATTAAAAGTGTAGCTCTAGAAAGCAATAATGATATCGGTCTGCAAAATAATACCCTGGAACATGATCATTGGTTTCATTTTTAAATATAAATAAATAATTGACTTAAAAGAAAATCAAGACAAAAATATTTTTTTATTCCTGAAAGTTTGGGCCAAAACTGTGGGTGCGCCTCACGCACAGAAAATGTGGGTAATACAGAGAACCAGGGACCGACAGAACGGGTGTGGGCCAGAGGGACAGCAGGCCCTGGGGAGCACTCAGGATTAAACCCAGAACAAGGCGGACTCGGCCCTCTGGCACCGCTGCTGTCTGAGGCCACCTCTGGAGCTGTGTAGGTCAAGACATACCCCTGCAGCCACAATTCAGACAGTGGGTAGCTGGAGTCGGGCTGCAGCCACAGAAGCCACCCCATACCCAGGAAGCTGGGCGAAGGACAAGGAACGCGAATGCAGAAAACGCTCACATTTCTGCCGCCATGCCAGTCACGTCCCAAGGGGGCGGGACTATACCCTCCACCTTGCACATCTGGCAGGGCTACTGCTGATGGGCAGCGCCGAGAACACGTCCAGAACTCTAGCTGCAAACAAGGCCTGGGAACTCAGCTCTTAGCTTCCCAGCCTCTCCCTCACCACCCGGGAGGAGGGTGCTGTAGACAGGGAGCGAGTGAGAGGCGCATGAGGACGTCCATCTCGGCACCCTTCATGACGACAACAAGGTGGAGACAAGCCGAAGCTTCCCTCCCCAGCCCTCCTGACCACGGAATTGTACGCCACCTTGGAGAGAATGATGCAATGTCAGCGAAAAGAGAAAAATTCATAAGGAATCCCTAAGGAAAAACAAAACAAAACAAGACAAAAGGCAGGTAGCAAAATAGAAGTCACCATATCATTTTACTTCAACTAAAAGAATTTTTGAAAAATGCAGAAGAAAAAAAATACCAGCAAGACAAATGGCAACTTTCTGGATGAAAGGATGGAAGGTATTATTTTCATCCTCTTCTGGTTTTCAAGCTTTATACAGGGTGCATATATTCTTTTTATCCTGAGGACAAAATGTGTATTTTGCAAATGCACTTATAAAATCTTCACGGAACTGGGAAAAAGCAGTGAAGGTGGAGCAAATTGGTGACCCAAGGTAGAAAACACCTGGGAGGGGACGGGGACAAAAGAGTGCAAGGAGAGGTTCATGGATGGCTACCTAACTAGGGGCGTTGTGCAAGAGGGGAAAATGCAAACTATTGTGTAATTGGGGTCCAGTCTCACAAGGCCCTGAAAAAGGCGTGGTCCTCTCTGGGTATTTGTTCCCACATCCAAACAAGAGCCTTAGGACATCGGATCTGAGCTGCTTAGCGGAGGAGAGCGCGCCTCCGCCGTTGAGCGGTTCCCCTGGGGGCATGAGTTGGAACTGAGCCAGCCCACCGGAAACCCAGACATTTCCACGCCTCAAGGGAGGAGGGGCCTTGACCTCCAGGCCAAAATTCCGCAGGGCCCACAGTAGAAACAGAGCCTCATTGGCTGCTGAGCCATTCGATTGTGCAGAGGCGGGATCTGCAGCGAACGCCGGAGGGAAAGCTGGACTAACTCCAGAGTCTGAACCTGCAACCCAGCGTGAGCCAGAAACTGCGCCCGTACCTGGTTCCCGAGCGAGAGCCCGAGCCTGCACCTGAGCGTGAGCCTGTGCTTGCAGCAGGTAATGACTGCCCTTCTCTCCAACCGCCGCGGCAGCCCGCAGCTCGCGTCCGTACATTGGAGGCTTCCTCTCTGAGCCTCGGCTTACCCATGTGGGGGCGGGTCTTTTTGCCTGGCGGAAACTGTAGGACCTCGCCCCTCTCCCCACACCCAAGTTCCGAGGTGGCACCTGAGGGCCTTAGGGATGCCGTCCTCCCCTCCCCCGCACAACTTTCGGATTAGCTGGACCTCAGTGCTGGAGCCCACCAGGCCCACGTAAGCGGCCGGGCCGGTGACGGTAGCTGGTGGTTGAAAGGCCAGGATGTGCAACCCTCCGTCCAGAAAGGGTGAGGGTGGGCACCTCCTGGTCCTGGCTCGATGGCCCAGAAGGTCTGGCTCGGCACAGGGGTCACTAATACAGGGAACCAAATAAATTGCCCATAGTCAGGAGGAAATACAGAGCTAGGACTGTGGGAACCTGGGCTGAGGGTCCTCTTCTGACTTGCTGTGGTGAGTCCCTGAACAGATTTGATTCCCAGCCTTCTTCTAGAGGGGGGCTTGTCACCTGCTCCAATCGCCCCAGGGCTGCTAGGAGTTTCTCTGAGTTAACTGCCCAGAAAATGGCCTGCAAGCTGTAAAGCCTGGTGCCCCGGTGAGCAGTGGTCTTCCTCCATGCACATGGCGGTGCCGGGACAGACCCCAGAGAGGGCACTAGCGTGGGAACAGCCTTGGCATGAAAGATTTCCCAGCCGTGGTCTGTGAGCACTTCTCCCACCTGTTTAGCCTTTCCACACACCCCCACCCCCTGCCCAGGCCTGGTGACTCCTCCTTACACCCATTCCAGCAGACTCCACCTCCCTCCTCAGATCCAGGTCTGCTGGTTCCAAGGCTGCTTCTGCCTGGCATGTGGCAGAGCCCTGAGCAGAGTGGAACCCTAGTGCACCCCTGATAGGTGTGCTGGCTCAACTTCCCGGCAAGGGAGGGCTTCCCTGGGCAGCACTGATTTGTGTAGAGCTGAGGACCTGGTTGGGGTGTTTTTCTGGATGAGTTCTTTGCTCCTCTCCATGCCCAATGGCAGAGGGTAGGGAGGTGGGGGGTGGGGGAGAGCCAAGCAGGTTTAGTTCCCTTTTGCTATATGGTGGGGCAAGACTCCAGTGAGAGAGTAAAGGTGAAGGGCTTGCTGTCTGGGCTGGGCACTGACTACGGCAGTGAATCTAGGGACTTTATACACCATTTACATTTCACTGAATACCTTTTATATACTGTTTAAATTTTACAGCTGCTGTTTAATCAGGTCTACATTGTTTTCAGAGTGGTGGGCAAGCAATGACAGGCCCTTCTTTCCAGCTGCTGCTGGACTTGCTGCACCCCAGGGGAGCTGGGGGGGGGTCAGGGCTAGGCCGTTTTCTGAGGGTGCCGCCAGCACAGATGCCCTGGGTGGAGGGCGGAGGGCTGTATTACACACAGCCCCATCCCACATGGCCCCATGAGGCCTTTTGCCTGTGAGGCACCTGAGGCACAGAGGCGATGAGAAGCAAGCCCCTCTCTAAGAGAACAAATTGTCTGGGAGTCTTTTTGGTTTCTACTTCATTCTTAGGTCAGTCGAACAGCCTTTGTGGATATTTTTGTAGCAAGCATGATTCTGGGCAGCAGGGCCATGGTGATGAACAGAGCAGGGGAAAACATTGCATTCTTCATGGAGCTGATGTTTTACTGGGGAGAGGCAACGGTAAACATACAGGCTTGTAAAGATGGATGCTGTTTGGTATGTCAGCTGGGGAAAAGTATAGCATGGTGCAGGGAATGGAGCGTGCTATGAGTGAAGAAAGTTGCAATTTTATCAAGCGTGGCCAGGGAAGGCCTTGCCAAGAAGGTGGCATTGGGCCAAGGACCCAGAAGAGGTGAGGGCGTGAGCTGGAGGGTAGATGGGACGCGATGGAGTTAGGCCGGAGGGTTCTTCAGGGCCTTCGTGCCCCTTACAACCCATGTTTTTTGAGGTGTCACCCGTTAGGCTTGGATCTTGGGACATCTGAGCTGGTGGGCCTTTGGGGGCCGGCCTGAGCCCCTCTCACCTGTTCACCCCAGTTCCCCCGTCCCTCTCCAGAGCAGTCGGCATGCAGCGCTTCCTGGTGCCCCGGCTGCTTCGCCTTTGGGGTAGGACCGCCCCGTACTCCTCGGCAGCAGCCCTTCCGAGCCCCATCCAGAACCCGGACATCCGCTACAACCAGCTCTTCATCAACAATGAGTGGCAAGATGCAGTCAGCAAGAAGACCTTTCCAACAGTCAACCCCACCACGGGAGAGGTCATCGGCCATGTGGCCGAAGGGGACCAGGCTGACGTTGACCGGGCGGTGAGAGCAGCCCGCGAGGCCTTCCGCCTGGGGTCTCCATGGCGCCGGATGGACGCCTCCGAGCGGGGCCGCCTGTTGAACCGCCTGGCCGACCTTGTGGAGCGGGATCGCGTCTACTTGGCCTCACTGGAGACGTTGGATAATGGGAAGCCTTTCCAGGAGTCTTATGGTATGGACCTGGATGAGGTCATCAAGGTGTACCGGTACTTTGCGGGCTGGGCCGACAAGTGGCACGGCAAGACCATCCCCATGGACGGCGAGCATTTCTGCTTCACCCGCCATGAGCCCGTGGGTGTCTGTGGCCAGATTATCCCGTGGAACTTCCCCTTGGTCATGCAGGGCTGGAAGCTCGCACCGGCCCTTGCCACCGGCAACACCGTGGTCATGAAGGTGGCAGAGCAGACCCCTCTTTCTGCCCTGTACTTGGCCTCCCTCATCAAGGAGGCGGGCTTCCCCCCTGGGGTGGTGAACATCATCACGGGCTACGGTCCCACGGCCGGAGCGGCCATTGCCCGGCACATGGATGTCGACAAAGTTGCTTTCACCGGCTCCACTGAGGTAGGCCACCTGATCCAGAAGGCTGCCGGAGACTCCAACCTCAAGAGAGTCACCTTGGAGCTGGGCGGCAAGAGCCCCAGCATCGTGCTGGCGGACGCCGACATGGAGCATGCCGTGGAGCAGTGCCACGAAGCCCTGTTCTTCAACATGGGCCAGTGCTGCTGTGCTGGGTCTCGCACCTTCGTCGAAGAGTCTATCTACAATGAGTTTCTCGAGAGGACAGTGGAGAAAGCTAAGCAGCGAAAAGTGGGGAACCCCTTTGAGCTGGACACCCAGCAGGGGCCCCAGGTGGACAAGGAGCAGTTTGAACGAATCCTGGGCTACATCCAGCTTGGCCAGAAGGAGGGGGCCAAACTTCTCTGTGGTGGGCAGCGTTTTGGGGAGCGTGGTTTCTTCATCAAGCCCACGGTCTTTGGGGACGTGCAAGATGACATGAGGATCGCCAAGGAGGAGATCTTCGGCCCTGTGCAGCCCCTGTTCAAGTTTAAGAACATCGAGGAGGCGATCGAGAGGGCCAACAGCACCAGGTACGGCCTGGCCGCCGCCGTGTTCACCCGGGACCTGGACAGGGCCCTGTACTTCACGCAGGCACTGCAGGCCGGGACAGTGTGGGTGAACACCTACAACATCGTCACCTGTCACACGCCCTTTGGAGGCTTCAAGGAGTCCGGCGTTGGGAGAGAGCTGGGGGAGGACGGGCTGAAGGCCTACACGGAGGTGAAGACGGTCACCATCAAGGTCCCGCAGAAGAACTCGTGAGGACGTCCGCTGAGGGGATCTGATGTCAGTTCACGGGTCCCACAACCATTGACTGGTGGTCACCAGACTTTTTTTTAGCCATGGACTCCCTTTATTCATTCCAAACAAACTCTTAGAACCTCAGCTAATGAAACCAAATCAGAGTTCCCCTAGTTAAAGGCAGGATGAGGGCTGGGCTCAGCCCTGTCCCTCTGTGCTCCAATCCCAGCGCCCTTGGAGGTCCTGAGTTACTTCCAGGAAACCTTAAGGGTCACTGGATGGCGGATTAAGAACCACCGATGTGGACTTCTCGTTCTTCGTGCTGATCCAAGGGCGTTCTGATGGATGCACCTGCTGGCGTAGCAGATGCGCTCACCTCAGACCTGTGTGTAGAAGGCGGTGGGAGTTCTGATGGACGTCAGATCTCGTCTCCATTCTCGTTGACTTAACCTAAAGGTCAAGCGTGCTTTTCCTTTTCTAAGTACCAGTTGTTGGCTATTTTGCTTGCTTGCCCTTCATTATGCTAATGATTTACTTTAATTTGAGGGAAGGAATTGGCCAGGAATGAATTTACGTGTCCAACCCTTTACAATACACTCAACCGAAATATCCATCAACTACCGAGTAGATAAGCAAAATGTTTCCCTGGAATGTTCCATGTACTTTTCAGCCATAAAGGGGGATGAAGTGCCACCATGTGCCGCGGCATGGGTGGTCCTGGAAGATGCTGTGCTGAGTGAAGGGAGACAGATGCACAAGGCCACATACTGTGTGACTCCATTTATGTGACATACCAGAACAGGCAAACCCACAGGGACAGAGAGTGGTGTAGTGGTTGCCAGGGTGTAGAGGAGAAGGGGGGATGGGGAGTAACTGCTAATGGGTACGGGATTGTTGGCGGGGGAGGTTTTAAGATGCTCTGGATTTCGATAGTGGTGATGGCTGCGCAGCTTTGCAAACACACTAAAAAGTGCTGAATTGTGTACTGCATTTTCCGTGTATAACGAGCACCCACATTTCTGTGCATATCATACATGGGATTATTATACCCAAGGTGTGTAATCATCCTACCCATGTGTAATGCACATCCTTATTTTTCCCCCAAAGGTTTAGGTGAAAAATTGTGCATTGTACATGAAATAGGACAGGATGAATTTTATAACATGTGAATTGATTTTGATTAAAGATTAAAATAAGTAAACTCACACATTCTGTTTGCAAATCCACTTGTGTCAATATTCTCTTGGTGCTGAATGTTTTGTAGAGTCCTGGAGATGGAGGGGACCCAGGTAGTCATCTGGTCAACCCCCAGCCAGGTGCAAAAATATGCCCCCCCCCCCCAGTATTTCTAGTTTTGTTTTTGTTTTCTCTTGGCAGACTGGGTGGCAAGGGGCCACTTTAGGGCCCACAGAGAAAAGTCTGGTTCCTGTGTCAGATCTCATTCCAAGACTTCTGCTGGCATTATCCCCTAGCCTCTCTATCAAAACACTGTCCGAGAAGCCACACCCAGTATCGGGGCCCTCCTGACATGCTGGGATTCCCAGGGGTTCAAACCTGAGAGTTCAGTATAGTTACTGTTAGTCTCAATTTCCCAATAGGTGGGAGTAACTCCAAGCCAGCAGGCCACGACACCTAAACAGGTGCTGAGGCCCTTTCTCCCTGTCTTTCACCTTTCTGTCCTGTTAATAACGAATCACCTGCTTTCAGGGCCACTCGGTCTAGTAGGTGCACACCCCCGGCATCTCTTTGGCAGCCTGCTGTCTGCCCTAGGCTTCAAAATGATTTTGTTCAGTATTTGACCTTGCAGTTGACCTGAAACTGCTTTCTGGGGATTATGAGTCTGTTTGGTCCCCTCATCTCTCCTTCCCAAGACCTCCTTTCTATGCCATTTGTCTAAGGCTGGGACCCTGACTGTCCCTGAAGTGCACCTTTTGTCTGCTTCTCTTAGAGCAGAGGCTGTTGGCACTTTGTGTAGTCATGAGAGTTTCTCTTGAAACAGGGAAACAGGAGTGAGTAGGTGGGCGAAAAGGGTCTCTAATGACCATCAAGTGTCTTAACATCCCAGTGTTTTAACAAATGCATTGCTCATTAACTTCTCAATACTTCTAAACTAAGTGACACTTGCTACAAGGTGTCCCAGTATATGTTGGGACAGGGAACAGACACTCTTCTGGGTCTCTTATTTTGATCCCTGACATTCTGTGACTGAGGGGACACACAGGTCAGATTCCCAGTCAGCTCAGCCCCCCTGGGCCTCCTCTACTGCAGACACTGCCCGCAGGATTTCACTTGCACACGGATGTCGCACCTCTGGGCACCCACGCACGCCAGCGAACCCACTCCAAGCTCTCCTCTGCCAGATGCTGTCTGCCAGGCACCTTCGCACGCCGCTGAAGCCACACACAAACCAATAGAACAGGCAGCGGGTGACCTTTTTGTTTTAGATGAAGAAATGGAGGCTGAGAGGTTTTGCATGAAGTTCATTTGGACCGTTTCCCGTGTGCGTACACTGTGGGCCAGACAGGGGTCAAACTGCGAGCACGTCTGTCCCAATCTCGACTCCTGAAGAGCCCAAGGACCCAGCTTTGCTGCATCCACTGGGGCTGCTGCGCCGACCCAGCGACACTGCTTCTCTTGACTGCTTCCCAGAGGCCAGTCCCTTTAAGAACTTCGGTTTGGTTTGGCTCCGTTCTGGGTGGGAGGCTGACCTCTGGTGGCCACCTGGTTAATTAATTTCCTCATATCATCCGTTGGTTTAAAAATAAAAGGGGGACTTCAAGGTTCTGTCTGGCTCTAGGCAGGGTGCGGGGACAGAGCATTGAATGAGGCAGTCCCCGCCCTCCGACTTACTTCACTTAGCACCGTACCCTCCGGGTCCATCTGTGCTGTCACCAGCGGCAAGACTTCATTCTTTTTTGTGGGTAATAGCGCATCGTTTGTGTGTGTGTGTGTGTGTGTGTGCCACATGTTCCTCATCCACTCGTCTGTCTGTGGGCACTCAAGTTTGTTCCACATCTTGGTGATAAGTACTGCTGTGATGAACGTAGGGGTGCACAGGTGTTTTTGAATTAGTGTTTTGGATTTCTTTGGATAAATGCCTACGGGAGAGATTGCTGGGTCACACGGTGGTTCTGTTTTTAATCTTTTGAGGAACTTCCATATTCCTTTCCCTAATGGCTGCCCCGGCTTACAGTCCCACCGAGACTGCACGAGGTTTCCCTCCTCCGCATCCTCACCAGGCGCTTCTTAATATTACTCCACTTGATGAAAAATCACAGCGGCCCACAGATGTCCAGGCCCTAAGTGGAGCCAGGGCGCGCACTCAGGTCTGTCTGCCACACCCAGCTCAGCCCAAGGGAAAGGGCCCGGAGGGAGGGACACGGGACCCTTCTGGGTGAGCAGGAGGTAGCCAGGCGGAGAGAAGCAGGAAGGGCGTTCCTGGGAGAGCGGATGGCATGAAGTTTGTCAAAAATCTTGCAGGGTATGAAGAAATGATGGAGGAAGGGAGGGGCGGGGAGGAAAGGCTGGAGGGGGCAGGGGCCGGGTGTGGGGGGGAGGGCTGTATACCCTGCCAGGACGTCCACACTTTGTCCACGGGTGGGAAACCGAGAGTTTCGGAAGGGTCATATTTTGGTTTCTAATAGAGCTGGCTTCTTTTCAGTGGGAGGGTAGGCTCGGGCGGGGGGCGCCCTGAAGCTGGAGACCACTCAGGACACCACTCGCTGCCCATGCCCGTGATGCTAACCTGAACCGGGGGTGAGGACGGGTGGGAGATCGCGGGTGCCAGGAGGTGACCCCACCAGGCTGGCCGGGGTAATCCAGTGGGTGCCAGCACCATGAAAGGGCAGCTAGCTGGAGGAGCGGGTTTGGGGACAAGGTGGCAAGTTTATTCATTTATTCGACGCTTTTTTATTGAGTGCAGACCCCTCAGCACCCCGTGAAGCCTAGTGCCTACGTAGTAGGTGCTCCGCAGATGTGTGTGGTGGGTGGAAACAGAAACAGAGATGAGAGGCTTCTCTCCCCCAACTCCCACCCCACCGCCTGACAGTCATGATTTTTACTCTTCTTGGTGGGAATGGGGGCAGGTTCGGCAGCAGGAAGAAGAGACGCAGGTGACTCCTCAGACCCTGGGTGCATTGGAGGCCGACCTCAGAGGCGGTCCTGGCCGAGGGGAGTTCTCACTGCAGGGAGACTCAGCCCCACGGAGCCGAGGGAACGCAAGTACTGGTGTCCAGTTCTGCCCCGGGTGAGGGGTTCCCACGTTCTGAATTCATTATTGAACCGCAGACACCAGGTCACTTTAGTTTCCCTTAATTAATTAAAGTATCACATAATCATCTCTCTGATTTAATGTTCAAGAGGCCCTGGCGAAGGCAGGGAGGGAGGAAATTCATTAGAGGAGATTGTTCACTGTCGACTGATTTGCTCATTCTTATTAATTTTCCCTGCGTCATCCATCCCTGAGGGGACAAGGAGGGCAATGTTTTTTTAGAAACATAGAATTAAATTCACCATAAAACTTGACAAAAAAATACAATTCCACTAAAAATCAGCCATTTTTAGTTAAGGTGGGAAGTGGGTCCATTTGGGCTTGGATACTGGCTTTTGGATGACCTCTCTCGAGTCTAGTTATAACTCAGCTGACGACAGAAAACTGAGATTCAGGCTGCCTACTGCTTACGGCATCAAGTCCAGACTCTTCCAGTGGCATTCGGGGACGTGGCCAACCCCCCTCCAACACAGGTGCCCCTACAGCTCCTGAAACCACAGTAGTTCCTATGCCCTGTTCACAAATGAAGCCGCACTTCTCCACTCCTGCTGCTTTTGTGTGCTGCTTCCCTAGCCCGGAATCCCCATCCCCATGCCAATCCCAGCTCAGATGCCTCCTCTTCCAGGAAGTCTTCCCTGATCTTCCCCTTCTCTGGTCACAAGGCAGACATTTTGTGCTTCCTTGGAAGGACAGTGACATCACCCCACTCATCCCCACTCAGGTCTCACCAGAGTGCAGGGCCCAGGTCCCACCCACGTTCACATTGCCAGTGTCTGCACCCCTCTGTCCTCTGGAGAAGGCTACTTATGTGCATGTGGAAGATGACAGAGGGCAAGTCTAGTGAGTGAATTCAACCCTAGGATGCTCGTACCGTGGGAGACCCAAGTTCAGGGAGAGTGAGGGGAACCGTGCCAGCAGCAGACAATCAGGACCGGTTAATAACCACACGCAGGGTGACTGGGCGGTGCTGTGACTGCAGTGCCGGCGGGAGGTGAGGAGCGCGTGGGCGAGCAAAAGGGGGCAAGAGGCACAGGGGTGGCAAAGTACCAGTGGGACCCGGGCTGCCCGAGGCAGCATCCCAACGACAGAGACCAAAAGACCGTCCTTAAAAACATTTATTGTGGGAGGGGGGGCAGGGTCATGGGACGTCATCTCCTCTGTGAAAGCAGGGTGGCACACAGGTTCTCTGGGGAATCGTGTTTCCAGACGGTACCAGCCACAGCACACGTTCCTTCAGCCTGCGCAGAGGCCCGGGGACTCTCACCGCTGAGACGTCGTTAAGGTGGGGCAATCACGTTTTTGGTTTTGGTGAACATGTCAGACAGTAACATTTATGTTATTTTTGCACGTAATTACGACGGTAAACCCAGCCTCGAGCTGTCTTCATGCTCGGCTCCGTCCACTCTGCTCTCTGGGTCTGCACCCAGCTCTCCAATTTTGAGCAGGCAGATCTGAGGGGATGCAACTGATTTTGTTAAGTGTCTTCGCAGATGCACGCTGTTCTGCTACCTTCCCTGGGGCCTCAGCGTCCCTAGTTCTCCTGAGTGTCTGCCCACCCGTGAGAGAGGTAGGGGGTGCTGAGTGGAGAGGGGCTGTGAGCAGGACCCCCAGCAGCTCCAGCCTCCAAACAGAAAGAGCTTCCACCTGGATCAGTTTTAATTCTAATTGTATTCAAAGAAGGGGCTCCAACGTTTTTAAGTCTGAAAACCACCCACCTAGTTTCATTCCTCGCTTATTGAAATGAGGAAGCTGGGGTGCACAAAACAAAGGGAACTTGGGCAAAGTCGCACAGCAAGCCAGGACTGAGGTCCCAAATGGGCCTTGTGGCTCTAGAGTCCTAGGCCATTCTCCTGCTGTGCAGTGTGTGTCAGGGTGACATTGCCCGATTTTCCAGAGGTGGGACCGCCAGCCTTAAAGGCGGAGAATGCAGTTCCAAAATGGACCCCAAAATGGCATGCCGGCTCCGGGCAGCATGAGCTTGTGCTTCAGAAGCAGAGATGGGCCTGGGCAGGAACCCTTGAACCCGTGGGACGGGCCGCATCTTCCTTTATGTGGTTACGAGATGGTCCCGAGAAGCTGCACCACGCAGCGGGAAGAGCTCTGCGGGTCCTTCTCAGAGGCCTGCAGACCTTGGGCAGGCGCTTCACTCTCGGGGCCTAGTTTCTTCACCTGCGGAGGGGGGGTGCACCAGTACGCGCCCTCCCTGCTCCCCAGGAGCGGGGAGTGACCACGGATGGCTTAAGGACTATCCGCACGTGCGATCCCAATTTTAAAAATGTTAATTCCCTAGGATATCTATTTTTTTAAATCCCAGATATCAAATATTTTCCTTCTTTCTTTCCTCATTAAAAAAGAAAGAAAGCCTCATTCCTGGTTGAGGTCAAAACATTTCTACACAGAACATGTTCTGCCACACTCTGTTGCATCCCCCAGAGGGAGCGCGGCCGGGTCTCCACTGCCTACTGGGTGAGGGAATGCTGGGCTTGTTCGCAAGTGGACATCTTGGTCCCCAGACGCCCAGCCACGGGGCCCCTGAGTCGGGTAAAGTGTTCCTTTAAGACGAGAAACCAGCAGAGAGAGAGGAGCTACGGCCAGCTGTCTGTACCCAAGTATGAAGCAATAGCCTTTGTTTTCGAGGAAGCACCAGTTTAAAAAGGACGCTCAGACCACACTTCCCGCATTTCGTCCACAAGGCCATCCTACTCCAGCATGCAAGGTTGGAAGGGCCACAGGTAACCTCCAGTCCAAATGCCACATTCACAGGTGACGAGACCAAGACCCAGCGAGGGAAAGGACCTGTCCAGGTCACACAGCAAGTCAGAGGTCAGGTGGGGGACAGCAGGGCCCCCTCCTCCCTGCTACAACACACAGTCACTCAGTCACAGAGCCCCACCGATCAGCCGCAGACGAATGAGGTAGAGTCGCAGCTGCCGCGTGCCCCGTGCAGCCCTTCCGAGTTCCCAGTGTGCCACGCCGTGATCTTCCCCGGGGAGCAGTCAGAAAAAGAGTTCTGATGGAGCAATTCATTTCTAAAGTATAAAAAACCACATGCAGGCCATTTCCCCAGCGTTTGCCCTGCTAAAAACCATATCTGTATGTGAATCTAGTTTGCATCTAACTTTGAAAAACATACAAAAGGGGTCTTCTACAAACACGGTTTCTCTAACTTGCCCTGGAGCAAAACGACGCAGGACTTGACTTCGTCGTCGTCCTGCGATCTGCGTTTCTGAGACCCTGGGAGGGAAGAGGGAACAGAGTTAGGGGAAAGGCGCCTGCTCCGTCACGGTCAGCTGCGTGGTGAGTGGAAGGCACAGGAAAGGACCCTTAACTTTAAATCTCCACCCGGCGAGGAGCGTGGTGGCCACGAGCCGGGCCCTGGGGGCCCAAGGAGCATGTACACAGCCAGCGGGCAGACGTTTCAGGGACCCTAACTTACTATGAGGAAAAACTTCCGGACACTGGAAAACCCAGGGACGGCTCTCTTGTGGTAGTGAGCACTGCATCTCTGGAGGTATGCAAGCAGGGGCTGGCCTGTAGTGTACCTCGCAGAGGGAACTCGGGAACTGGGAGGTGCCCATGCTCTTAAAACTCCATGGCTCCCTTTTGAAAACTCATCTATGATGGGCTGTATTCATAGCCAGGTAAAATTTCTGTTTTTTAAAGTATAATATATACATATTTATACTTAAAAACTACATATACTTAAAACACGGAACATATAGTCACACACATACATGTATGCACGTACACATGTGTACACACATACAGGCACACAGAACGAAAAGTCCCAACACTGGATTTTTTGTTCTATATTTATCAGAATAAAACAGAAAGGCGAGCATCCAGGCGCTGTAAAAGCCGTCCCCTAACTCATTTCTATTGGGTGAGTTTGGCATTTTCCCCGCGGCTCCTGGCCCCGAGGGAACCACAGCACAGTCTTCCTCTGTCTCCTCAGCTCTGAGCTGCTTGACTCGCCCCACACTCACTGCTGCCCCGTGTTTCCTTGGCTTTGCGTTCCTTGTAGTTTAACGGCGTTCACTTTTCTGTTCTCCCTGCATCCCCTAGACCTGATGTAAGGCCTTGGGCGCAGAAAGTGCCCAGTAGTAGTGGCTGCAGACGGAATAACACACATGACAACCACAGCAACATCCTTCTGCTTTTCACAAACTATCGAGCCTGCTTCTCGTTTTCCCTGCCCTGTGAAGTCCTTGCCGGCAGGCCTTGGCACGGGTGCCTGTTCAGGACAGTTCTCCTGCCCTGGGCCTCCGGGGAGAGGAGCAGGCTCCCACCAGCCCCAGCGCAGCAGGGTGTGGCCACGGGACTTGCTTTGGCCAATGGACGTAAGCGGCTGACAGAAACTTTAAATGAGATTGTGTGCTTGGCATGGCCTCCTGCTTGTCCCCTCTGCCATGAGAGTGGACACATTCCATACCAGGGCTGCTCCTCTGGCTGCATCCCTGTCATAGAAGACGACACGTGGGATGGAGCCCCAGCTAACCCGCCACCTTGAGAAGAAATGTGAGCAAGCAAGAGATAAATGTTGGTGGCCGTGAACCAGCGAGGTTTGGGGGTTGTTAGGCAGCAGAAGCTGGCCAATAAGGGGCTGTTTCCTAAGTTCATGGCCCACCTGTCAGCAGGGGACAGCTGCCTCCCTGCTGTCTCCCAGCTGACTCTGAGGACCAGGCCCAGCTGGCCCAGGGAGGTGCAGATTCTCTGCGGATGTGCTGCTAAGAGGCATCGTGTTGAGGACAGGGAGGCACAGCCTGGGGATGGCAGAGCTGCGGACAAGGGGAACCAGACAGAGACAAACAGCTCCCGCTCTCTTCTCAGTGGGCATGTTTTCGCACAGGTGCTGACGCCATGACAGCTTCTGCTCACTCCAGGAGGTTCTGGAGGAAATATTTGGTGCCGCCTCAGAAACAGACACAATGGGCCCTTTTCACCTTCTGGATGCCCATACGTTCGCAGCTCTTGCCGTGCATGCCGGGCGGGAAGCCCAGAGTGACACGCGTGTGGAACATGCTAGAGATGCCACCTGCTAATCGCAGTAGGTTCCTACTCTTGTTTTGTGCCCTTCTGGTTTCTCTGGGCCTACACGTTTTTCTTTCTTTTTATTATACATCTTATAAACCATCTCAATTTCTTGTGACGCAGGTGTATAAACACCCAAAATGACTTAGAAGGCATACTTACTCTGTCACATGCGGTCATCCGGAGCTGGGCCACGAAGGAGTTTGTACATATGCGGGTCACTAACTGTCACCGTGCCACGGGACTGGGCCTCCCCCAGCGCGTTGGCCGAGTGGCACTGGTACACCCCCTCGTCCTCCTTCCTCAGAGGGCTGATCTGGAAACACAGGGAGCATGTTCGTGTAGTTCCCTGCGGCACGACGCGACCACTCCGGTACGTGGCCTTGACAAGACCTCTGGCCACTTGCTCCTCTTCAGAGTAAGCAAGAGCGCACTGTCTCTCTTCTCACCTTCTCAGTGCCTCTGTCCTGGCTCTCATGTAGTGTTTCCTCTGCATTCCTGCCTTTTACTGTGAGCTACCTAGTCCTCTTTTTTTAAAAAGATTTTATTTATTTACTTTTAGGGAGGAAGGGAGGGAGAAAGAGGGAGAGAAACATTAATCAGCTCATCCCCAACTAGGGACCTGGCCCGCCATCAGGCATGTGCCCTGACTGGGAATTGGACAGTGAGTGACCTTTTGGTTTGCAGGCTGGTGCTCAGTCCACTGAGCCATACCAGCCAGGGCTGGTCCTCTTATTGAAGGTATAGGTATAGCTTATAAGGAAAATATTGCAAATTAAAAAAAATAATAATCTATTGCCCATGAAATGGCCCACAAGGGCTCCCAGTGGAGGCAGCCTTCACAAATTAACACCAGAGAAAATGTTTTCCTCCATACTTTCTCCTAATAAAGCATGGGAAGGTTAAGGTCATGGGGCCCTTGGATGCTGTCCAGTCTAAAGCTCTCTTTTTACAACTGTGGACACAGAGGCTCGGATTTGAAAAAGCCACAGACCCAACCGCATTCTGAGGTTCTGAGCTGGGTGCAGAAGAGTCACCAAACCTCGGAGAGGTGGTGGGGCAGTGGGAAGAACCCCCAGGGCAGCCCGCCCTGCTGCCCCTGCAGAGCAGATAGATCACGCAGGCCCTCTCCTCTCCTGCTCCCTCTTGCTAGAATGGCTTCTGTCAATCACGGGTCGATCTACAGACCAGGAGGGTTTATGTGCCCCATCTCGTTTTGAATTTGCACCAGTGGTGGACGCAGGGGAGCATGGTCATTAGCCTCACGCTCCAGGGGACTAGCAGGTAAGTCACAGACTATTAGAGTCAAGTGGCCCTTGGACGCTGTCCAGTCCAAAGCCCTCTTTTTAAAACTGTGGGCATGGAAGCTCAGAGAGGTAGTTACTTGGCCAACACGGACCCTTGTCTCGTCACTCCAGGGCTCCTTCAAATACACGGCATTCCTTCTTCTTAGCAAACCCGCAGCAGGTGGCATGGAGGAGCCATGAGAGGACCCAGAGGTGCCATCCTCCCTCCTTACTGGCCGTGTGGCCTTGGGCAAGTTTCCTATGGCAGCCGTAACAAAGCACCACACACCCAGTGGCTTGAAACGACATGCACACCATCTGCCCTTGCTGAGGCCGGAAGTCCAGGTGGGTCTCAGTGGGCCAAAGTCATGATGTCAGCAGGGCTGCCGTCTTTCCAGAGGCCCTAGGGGAGTATCTGCTCTTGCCTTTTCTGGTCCAGAGGCAGTCTGCACTCCTTGGCTTGCGGCCCCTTTCCTTCATCTTCAAAGCCAGCAATGGTGGTCGTGTCTCTCTCACACTCCCATCTCTCTCTCCTGTCTCCCTCTTTCACATCTAAAGAACTCTGTGATGGCCTTGGCCCCACCCAGATAATCTGGGGTAACTTCCTTATGAAAGTCACCTGATTAGTAACCTTAATTCCAGCTACAACCTTAACCCCCTCTTGCCATATAACAGAAAACATCCACAGGTTCCGGGCCTAGGACATGGACATCTTTCTGAGGCCGTAACTGCTACCACTGAAGGTCACTTATGCTCTCAGGGGTTACACACCTTCCCTGCTTTCCTGACAGTCCTCACAGGGTCCAGTGAGAAGTGGATAAGAAACGTGTGACATGTTACAGAAATATCGAGGGTGCTTTGTACAGGCCAATCATAGCCAGTAGTCCTAAATGAACGGGATGCTCACCAAAATCCAGGCTGTGGCCTCGTGGTCAGAGGGCCCCCCTCGCACCTGGACAGCTATGTTCACATGGTCCCCAGGCAGGTCCTCTAGCACCTGGGTGCCCTCGGGAGACTGTGTGACCTGCAGAGGACAAGAACACCAGGAGGGGTTTAGTGGGAGCATTTCCAGGTACACGCCACCCCACAGACACCCTCTGTCTTCATCTTCCTGCTGACCTGAAGGCCGAAACCCTAGTAGCTCTTGCTCCTACTGAAATGTCCGTTGCTTTTAAACCCTGAATTATGCACAGACAGCACATCCTGATGGACAGCAAAGATGTGGACGCCCCCACTGTCTCATGGAAGCAGTTCAGAATGCCACGGCCCTGTCAGGGCTGTTGTGACAAGGGGACAACTTCTCTGTGACCCATGCTGGTCTCTCAAATACTGATTGATCTGCAGGAGGATCTATTTTGGAACAGGACTGGGTTACCTGCCACCACCCAAGTCTTTCTAAAACCCAAACCCAGTGAGGCAGCCTCTAACTTCATCCCAGCTGGTCCAGGCTAAATAACCAGCAGAACTTTCCCGACAGCTAAGTGGCCAAGAGAGCAAATGCCACAGGAAGGATGGCAACTGCCCTTCTCTGGGGACAGCTTTGGGAGAAAAGTTTTGTGGCATAAACCTGGAGGCAGAGGAATGGTATATAACGGGGTGTCCAACTGGCTGCCCAACACAAAATCGTAAGTTTTTCTTAAAACATGAGATGTTTTTGTGATTATGTGTCACAGTGTATTTAATGTGTGGTCCAAGACAGCTCTTCTTCTTCCAATGTCACCCAGAGACACCCCAACCAAAAGGTTGGACACCCCTGTAAGATATCCTCTGGTCCACACAAAAAAATATACACAGAAACACTTAGAATAAAAGAAAACATTTACACCCTCCCTCCCTCCCTTCCCGTCTCCCTCTCTCTCTCTCCCACACACACACACACACACACACACACACACACTCTCGAGTGTTTGGCTGTAAGTACCTTCCTCCACGTGATGACTGGGGGCGGTGCAGCCCTCACCTCACAGGACAGGTGCGCCTGTGCCCCGGTGACGTTGTGAACACTTCGTGGTGGGATGACGACCACAGGAGCTGGGCGACAAGACAAGGAAGCACAACCATTACCCGGCCAGGTCCCAAGGGCCCCACTTCTAGAATTTTCCTCCTGGGAAGAGCCTGCTGGGACAGAGCATGATGGGAGAGCAGTGGCCGACAAAAGCTCTCCACCCACAGAGAACAAAGTCTCAGGCAAGGAATCGTGGGAACGAGTTTGCCTTAGACCCGAAAGGGTGCCTATGTGCTTCCTCACCCATCGCCTTTGTTCTACCAACAAGAAAACAGGGCCCCAGAGAGAAAAGGCAGCCACCTAAAATCACACAGCATGTCTGCAGTGGGGCTCCCGTCTCGTCGCACTCCTCCCCTGGCCCAGCTGCCATCTGCTTTCAGCTCAACGACAGGACAGGGCTCCGGGAGGGGCTGGTGTCACTTCACCAACGGCAGTCTTCTAACAGATGGGCCTTTCTCCTTTCCAGAGGCGGGCATTTCACAGAATAACACCACGTAGAACCCAGCATCCACCCCAGAGCGGAGACCCCCTGCGGCCCTTTCAAGACGCTCATTTGCACATCACAGACTCATGAGCTCCACACTTGGCCTCCCCCACTCCACACCCCTCCCACTCCACACCCCCCCACGCCCCAGTGGCAAAACTGTTGGGCTGGAAGCTGGGTAGAGACTGGGCATCAGGCGATGTGGATGTGGGCTGCCAGAGCACTGCAGAAAGGAGAAGGAGCGCGTGGGCATCTGAGTTAGAAATTCTTAGCTGACACTCCACTCTCCTCCCTCCTCTCTGTGCCTGGCATCTGCTCTGCCCACACTGGGACTAAAAGCATCAAGTCTGGCGGCCCTTCAATGTATCTGCCTCTGCATGGAATGCACCCCCAGCCCACAGGTAGCTGGCTCCCCAGGTGCAGGGCTGACAGGGTGTGTTCTAGTCCAGGACCAGGGGTTCTGTGCCGCTTTCACCTGCTGAATCGGAGCCTGCCTTGCAGCCCAGGTGCTTCCACCTGGTCTCACCTGCACAAGAAGGCAAGCTTGGCCCACCCTTGCACCTGACCCCACGGTGTCTTGGGCAAGGTGAAAATGTGGTCTTTGGGGAGGAAAATGCTCTCTATTCAGGTCTGCTTGTCTGTAAGATGCGAACAATACCCTCAGCTTCAGAGGGTCACTGAGCTGGTCTTACCGCGTGATGAGTGGGAGTGATGGTTTCAGTTAGCATGATATGCAAGTGGGGGTCAGGAGCAGGTCTGGTACACAGATGGCTGGGTGAGGAAACACATGACAAATAAAAGAGCAAACACATCCATTCTCCAGCCATCTGACTGCAGAGAGTGTGGACTCCTGGGGCTTCCCTGGTGACTCAAGGACAGCCCAGCAAGCTGGCCTCGAAGAAGAAAAGGAGAACAAAGAGAAGGAGACAAAAGGCTGGAGGGAAAGGGGAGGGAACAGGAGTGAAAGGACACAGAAATGAGGCTGGTCTGGCTCCTTCGCACAGACTGGGAAGCAGACTCTGTCAAGCTGGTGCCAAAAACAAAAAACAAAACCCAACTTTGGGAAACCGTCTTAGAGCTGCAAAATCTCAGAGAAGCCTAACTCCCCAAGATCCTGAGCCTGTGTCTATGATGTGTTCATTGAGCCTCCACTTGCACGCCTCTAATGACAGACAGCTCACTACCTATGGAGCCAGGCCCTTCTATTCTTGGAGGGCTCTGCAGGTAAGAAAGCTTGCTCTCATGGGACCTAAAACTCACCTCCCTGTGTCTCCCACCTGTTTATACCAATGCTGCCCTCTAAAGTCCTACAGCGCTCTGGGTGTCCCAAGGGCCACCAGTGAGGTGAATAGAGACACTGCCCTTTCCCCCTACAGGCTTTCTTCCCCCTCAGCCCGGGCAGCTCACTCCTTCAGCTGTGCCCATCTCACTGCCCTCTAAGCCACACAACCCCAAGTAGAGCCAACGTCCCCTCAGTGAACCAAGGTCCTGGGCTTCCAACATTGCCCGATGTGCCCTGGCCACCTGCCTGGCTGCCGCAAAGAACCACAAGAGCCCTGCTCTCTGGCAGGAGCCCCGCCTGCACAGACAAAAAAGAGAGTCTGATTTATTCACGTCCTCTGTCCTGCCAGCGTCGCCTCCCCGGAGCCCATGCCCATTCTCAAAGGGCTCGCTGTGCGGACAGTCAGAACCACGTCTTATTCCAGGGCCTGCCGCGGGGGTTCCAAAGGGACGCCCAATCCATGTGTTTTACTTCCATTCATGTAAAGTCATAAATTTTAAATGAGATTTCATCAATCCTTTTCAGGCCTAAATGAATAAACCAGTAAATCACATGTCACCTTTCTCTCCTTGTACTTCCCTCTCCCTTTCTTGCAATAACTACACTTGAGAAAGCCTGTCTCGGAAATACTGTCTTTGCCACTGATTTCCTGGCAGAAAAATGCCATTTGTCTTACAAAAGAGCCCCCTACGCTAGATGACAGAGTGGCATTCAAATTTTTATCTTTAAATTTACATACGGTACGTTCGCTCTCTGGTGCACAGTTCTGGTTTTGACAGATGCCCACAGTCATGCAAATGCCGCCACAACCGAGACACAGAGCAGTTACCTCGAACGGTTTCCTCCTGTGTCTCTGTCACAGTCATCTGTCTTTAATGTTGACACATCTGATTTTAAACTGACAATATTTTTATCCGTAACAGCTCTTCACAATCAGCCATCATCATCATTGCAATACTGGTAGTGATGCCGCTGACTGACACCGAGGGCTGGCTGCGTGCTGGGCGCGCTTCTGTCCCAGGGGTTGTGACCCCGTCCGGTCCCTCCAGCAGTCCCGCCAGCCAGGCAGGTGAGCCAGGGCCCCCCGGCCTTAAATGGTGGGGCGACGCCATGGGCCTGGGCTCTGGCCCCAGGCTCTGTCCACACCATTTTGCCCTCTCCTCCTGTGACACCTCCACAGCCAGTGCTCTCTTCATCCTCACACCAGCCCTGCATTTGTACCCATTTCACAAATGAGAAAACCAAGGCTCTGAGAGCTGACGTGTGTGGAGGGACAGGGACTCAAACCCAGGGCCCTGAGTCCATTAACGCCACACTGATTTTTAAAGTGAAACATCTGTTATTCCGTGTGGACGCCTTTCTCGTGTGAGAAAGCCTTCCTTGGGGATTGTGTTGGGGGCCGCAGGACAACCCCTGGGTTGCAGGATTTGCTGGGGGGACCACAGGACCCAGCCCAGCTTTACTCTCAGCTGTGATTTATCGCAGCGGAAGGAGACAAAGCAGATCAGCAGAGGGAAGAGGCACGCGGGGCCGGGACTGGGGAAACCAGACGCAGGCTTCTGAGAGCCTCTCCCGGCGAAGTCACACAGGACACACTTAGTTCCCCAGCCTTGGACTGTGACAACCCGTGCAAAATGCCACCTGCCAGGGAAGCTCTGGGCCTGACGGTTGTGCTGGGGCTGGTCACCGAGGCTCCCTCTGCCTGCTGTAGATGCAGATCCAGGCTCCCAGCAAGGGAGCAGCTGTCCAGCTGTCCTTTGTTCAGTGCAGGCAGTGAGCCACCACTATCAGTCCTAAAACCCTTGTCCCCAGACACCAGCCACGGGCCACCCTTGCCCCCAGGCTTGTGGGAAGATACACAGCTACACTGACCCTTTTCTGCCCAGGAATAAACCGGCACCCCCACCCCAGGCTTCACCCCAAGCAAATGGCTCTTGTGAAGACACCATTAAATGCACCCCGTGTCCTCAACACCAGCAGGACACTCCCAGCCCTACTGTTCCCAAGGGCTCATTCAAGTGCAGCACTGGGATGCTCAACGCCATGACCACCCCAGGCAGGAAGAACCCATGGTCCAATCCTGTCTCTGCCACACCCCAGGGCTGCAACATGGCCTCAGCATCTTCTTTAAAGTGAGCCTGGCAGTCCATTCTCCCTCCCCTGTGCTCCCCATATGCTGCAGTGAGGAAGTTACCAGGCCCCTTGCCAACTGTCAAGGCTTCCACGGAGGGGCCTGAGGACTTGGCTGGTTGCTGCACCCTGAGGGTAGTGTCCTCGAAGAGGCCTCTGGTGGGCGGGCTCGCAGCCCTTCCTCGGGCGAGCCCGGAGCGAGGCCTTACAGTTGCCAGGGCAGCCACGCTTCTGGAAGAGCCACGGCCTCCCTTCCCACCTGCCTCTGACAGGAGTCACGCGGCTCTCAAGAGAGAGGATGGTACCCGGTCGGCTGGGTCTGTGAATGTGCCAGCTTTGTCTGTCTAGCCCTTCCTTGCTCAATACTTGTTTCCTCTGTTCATGGCAGCCACAGCCCTGGCAACGCTGGGCCAGCACAGCTCTGCCCACTGGGTAACAGACAACAGTCACCAGGTGTGTCCGGACAAAGGCGGTGCTGTGGGTGGGCAAAATGTACCCAGGGACTCTCCTACCCATAGGAGCCTGCTTGGGCAGCTTGCTCACCACCTCCTCCTGATCTGCGAATGAAGGCGACTTCACTCCCCCCAGGGTGCAGGGAGAGAATGGGTGTGGCTGCATTATTAAACTGGCGGGTCTGTACAAATGAAGGGGATCGATGTCATTATTATAGTGTGTGGGGATCTGTCCCCCTGCCCCGTCAGCTACGTCCTTGATGGCTGGAACGAACAATCTTTGCATGTGCCTCAGATTTCTTTAGAGTTAATGGCGCTAGGGAAGGAAAGAATATTAAAAGTCATCCCCCAGGACCCCATCTACCTGTAGGAGAGGGCGCACCACCGGAGGGTTTACTGATCAACGCACTGCACAGCCCTGGTAATTTATGCTAATAGTCATGTTACGGCGCAGGAGAAACGGCTCAGTCCCTCTCCCTGCAGCCTGCGCCTCACTCAAACCCCTCCCTCGGCATGAAAGGCTTTTGAGCAGGAGACCCCCCCTCCTTTGTCCCTCTCACAAAGTGGCATTCACTGCCTCTCCTGGTTACCTGGTAACACATGCTTCACAAAGACCCATTTCTAAGTGGAGCTGGAATTTCAACCGAGGTAAATTTTCTAAGATTTAGGATCTCAAGAGCTCACAGAAGCCTTGGGGGCTCAGTGGCCCAGTGGGCACTGACATGGGACCCTGATCCTATGTAATTTCACACTCGGAACAGGACATCAACCTGCTGTTTGCAGGATCCCAACGTCGGCAAGCAGTCACAATGCACAGACAGAACAACGCAGCCTTTTAAAGTAATGACAGCAGTAACAACTTAATGCCAGGCTAGCTGACAGTTGAGAAAGCAAACCAAGAGTTTAGGACAGAATGGAGCTTCGCCCCTGAGCCTGGCACTAAACTGCTCTGGGCTTAGCTCCGGTGGCTGCCCAGCAGGCCCACAGCCCACATGCACTGCAGGACCTCTTTGCTCTGTGTCTCGGTTCACACTGTGCCTCCCCCCAACCCCCTCCGCCCAGGAACGTTCCCCTCGCCCTTCAAGGCTCCTCTCATGTGCCTCCCCTTCTGTGATGCTACCCTGTTCCTCTCAGGAGCCATCACCCAGAGCTAAACAGAGGAACCAGCAACCTGCCTTGGGGGGAAAACCGGAAGGCAGATCTGCCCTGAAAAACTCTCAAGACTCAAGAGCAGCCAATTGGCGGCACCTTCTGAATGAGGTTGCCAGAGGGCTAGAGGTGTGAGGCCCCACCTGAGAAGCCAGGAAAACCCAGGCTAGAGCCCCAGCTCTGCTGGGGAATAGCCAGGTGGCTCCAGGGAGACTGCTCCTGCCCCTGCCCCACATGCCTCAGCTTTCCCTTCTATGTAATGGGACTGAGACCTGCCCAGGGCAGTTGTAAATGTCGAGCAAGAAGATGGGATGCAAACGCAATTTCCAACAGTAAAGAATGAATTATTCATATGTGGGAACATAGTGGGTCTTCCATAAATGTGTGTGCATTAGGCGTTTTGGGTCTTTTCTGAGCACAGGAGGAAATTTAAGCCTGAAAACTGCTTCCAAATGCTCCTGAGAGGCATGCGTGAGAACACCTCCCACACTGGGTGGAACTTCGCACACATTTACAGACGCCTCGCTCCGCTCAAGTCGGGAGTTCGCACGTTGAAGGAGCAGGTGAGGTGCAAGGAGGGGTGGTTTTGTCACCAGTATTGAAGCAGAACAGCTGCTGCGGGGACTTGGTCTGCTTCCCTTCAACTGGGGTCCCCAGGGGCGTTGTTAAAAACTGCTTCTGCTGTGTCCTCTGAATAGAGGATGGCTTTAGGGCAGCACAGAGCGAGGTGCCGATTTTGCCTTAGTCACTAGCTAGGAAAGATCCCCTGTCCACAACTTCTTGATTGACCAGGACACAGGGGCAGGGGCCAGACAGACATTTCAGGACAAAAAGCAACGGGAAAAACAGTGCCCGACTGACAGGAGATTCCAGGAAGGCCTGATGCCTGTCACTAATGGGATCATTAAAAGCAGCTTCCGTGTGGCCTCCATTTGGCTCCCTGAACATCTTTACGCCCGGGGCCTGTGCCTGAGGTGCGCCTCAGGGCCCATAGATCAGAGTGGAGGGGCTGTCACATTTACTTGTCATTTGGTAATTTTCAGTGAATTAGGGGTATGGGGTTTCCATCTGCCATCTGGCTGCACTCTAGTAACCATGGCAACCACCACCTGCCTGACTTAACTCTATCAAGTCCTGTCCCCAAAGAGCACAAAATAGGGTATAGGGGACTTGGGAGCTGGTCAGGCTGCAATGGTCACCACGATCAATCCCCTGCACTGCTCCCTCACTGGAGTCTGTCTGCTCCCCATAATGGCAGATTTGGCTTAAATGTCTTAAACATCTTCAAGGCATCTCTCTTGGGAACAGAACACCACTCCAGGGAAGTATCATTTGAGACCATCTACGCCGGCAGATTCTGGGGCCCTGGTCTGCACTTATGTCTCCTGTGTGTGGAGTGAAAGTATTACCTGTCTGCAGACAAAGAGAACCGCCTGTGAATGAACTGCTGAGGAAAGCAGATTGTAAAATCGAGTGACAGGAACTAGAAAAAGGAAGGAGACAGGACTGTTTACGTGCCACAGGGTAGAAACAAAGGGGCCTCAACAGGGGCTCCACAGGGACTAACACAGCCCAGGGGATGGGCCAGCCCAAGGTCACTCAGGGAAACAGCAGCACAGGGAAGTGCCAGCCGGCTCTCTCCTCCATGGGAGCCCCCACTAGGAACAGCCACTGGCGATATTCCTGCACTCCAGGGAGGCCGCAGCGCGGATGGGCTGCACACTGTTTCCATGTTTCTGGGACAGGAGGGTCCGGGCCCCATTTCTGACAACACAACAATGCGTGTCTCCTGGACACACATCCACCCGGAATGCCTGGGCGAAGATAATCATAGAAACTTCCCAATGCCTGTTAAGGCCTTCCCCACCCCCAAGTCTTCCTTGTTGGAGCTGAAGTCACTACCCTGACTTAGGCAGTTGGGTCGGACTTGGTCTCCAGCAGTGGGCCAGAACCCCAAGCTGGACTTCTTGGGACTCACACTACACTCTCCCCTGCCCCCTCCAGGCAGCATAGAAAGGGACAGTTCTTCAAAACATAATGGTTTTTCTGGGCATCCCTTTATTAAGGTTTTGGATTATTTCTGTTTGATTTTTTAAAAAGTACACATAGAGGGTAGGAAGCAATAACACCGACAGACAACTTTACTGTGATGTTAATGAAGTGTAAGTTTCTAGGTCCCAAGCAATGATTAATTTTCTATTCCTTTACTTCAAGTGGGACCTTTCAAATTGTATAAGCCTTAGCCCCACAAAACCTGGGTCTGCCCCTGAATCTTTTCAGAGCCTAGGTCTGCAAATGACTTACCTGTCCTAAGTGGGAGCTCCCTCAGGAATCCCCAGCAGGGTCCCAGCCCTGGTGCTCAGCTCCGAATCCCGAGTTCTGGTTGGGAGCTCCTTCTCTGGCTTCTTCAAGGTTCCTCCCTCTCCATTCAAACAACCCACGCCGGGGACTTGAACCTGTTGAGGACCTCCCACTCTCAAACTCCCAGTCTTGTGGAGGCAAACTACCAGGCCTGCGAATAACTGCATCAGCAAGTATTTAAGTACCAAAAGGGACAGCAGGCTCCCCAAATTCCCACCAGCTCACTAGCTGGTGTACCCATGAACTTGGTAAGGGAAGGTGCAGCATGTGAATTCCTGCCCCAGCCTCCTTGCGCTCCCTGCCAAATAAGAAAAACTACATAGGCAGCGTTGGTGCTGGGAGGTGAGGAGAGACATTCTTTCGCCAATACCCCAGAGATCTAGGGTGTCCCCCCGCCTCTGCAGCACTGCCAGGCGGAAGCCCGACTTACCAAATACACAGGGGCCGTCGTGCACCTTGTGCAGGTGGCTTGGGTGCGCGCGCGGCGCGTGCCGGGCGCGCAGGCGCAGTGCGCAGACGCTGGGATAAGAGCGGCCGTCGGAACCGCAGACGGCGCCGCGCTGCGCGCACACGCAGAGCCCGGTGCCCTCGGGCGCCGCCCCAGCGGCTCGGCTGGCGCACACGAGCTCGGGGCCACAGCGCGCGCCAGCTGGGCCTCCGCAGCTCGCACCCTCCCCGCCCAGGCAGCGCGCGCAGCAGCCGCACTCATCGCGCGCCGGAATGCCGGGCGCCGGGCAGCGCGCGGGCGCGGGACAGTGCTCTGGCCGGCACGGACCGCACTCTGGGCGCCGGCCGCCCGCGCGGAGGAGCCCGAGGCCTGGGGCTACCGGCGGCAGCAGCAGAAGCAGCAGCGGGAAGAGCACGGGTGAGCGTGTCATGGTCCGCTCCAGGACGGTAGTAGCGCCTCTGCTTAGCTCTCCGTTCTTCACGCGCGGCGCCGCCACCCAACCCGCCCCGCCGCCGCTGATTGGCCGGGGCTGCACCGCGGGGTGCCCGCAGACGGCTGCCCGGTCCGGGACCGGAGCGGCGGGGTGGGCTCCCACCTGACCCGGTTCGGAGCAGGAGGAATGTTCGTAGACCCGCAGTCGGACACCCAAGGGTAGCAGGGGCGGGAACTTGCCTTAAGTCGCTATGGTAGAGCCAATATTGTATAAAAGGCTGGCTCCAAATATTATGCCCTTTAATCCTCTCAGAAGGACGCGCCATTTTATTTTGCATTTTGTAGTTTTCCAAGTTGTATTTTAGAAAAGGAATATATGGTTTAAAATTTTAGAATGTACAAATGGATGTAACGATATAAAGAGGGTTTTCCTTCTCTCGTGTCGCAATTCCCCAGCCCGGTCTCAAGAGGGCACTCGTTATCAGGTTCTTGGTGTACCTTTAAGGAATTTTGCTTGCCTATAAAAAGCACATAATTATATAGCTCCTCTCTTTAAACATATACGCACACACAGTAACGTGCCGTATACATTACTCTGTGCTTGGTTTTCTCACCTATGGTATTCCCCACAGTTTCCCTACCTCTTACGCCTGACATTGGCCCCTTTTACAATCAGTGGAGAATTAATTAGTTCCCCCCACTCCTTAATGCTGCATGAAGTGTGGTTCATCTTATGGTTAGGAGTGATTTGGGTGAGATATGGTGATCTATTTATGATTGGCTTCAGAATTTTAATCTTTGCGCGGTATTTAATTGCACAAAAACTGCATTTATTCAACCAGTTGTTTTTGGTCCTTTTGTTACTACAAGTAATGTTGTATTGGATGTCTTGGCACACAGTGTCAGCATATCTGTGACTTAATGGAGAATGCATGTTGGAAAGACACCGTGGGACAGGTTCTTGCAGTCCCTTATTTATTCATGCAGTCTCCATGCCTGCCCAGAGCCAGGTTCTGTGTGCCCGGTCTGGCAGAGCACTCAGATGAAAAACACAAGGGAGTCTCCATTGCTGGAGTTTGATGTTTGTTTGGCCAGGTGAAGACAATAGACGGAGGGAGGGATGTGCTGACCAGGCTTCATGGATGGCTTTTCTTGCCTTCACTCCCTCACCCTCATTTGTCCCATGTTGCTTGCTTTCTTTTTCTGAACTCCTAGAGATGGAGAAAGCCTCTTGGAGTCTAGGACGACCAGCCACAGCACTCTTGGGTGGTGTCTAGGTTGCTTTTCAAGCCCAGGCCCTTCCCAGTTTGCACTCTTTTAGGGGATGCCCTTATCCCCAAAAGGAGCCCCAGCAGAGGCCACTCTATGTGGTGGTCAGAGCAGGGCCAGATGCCTGGCCCACTCCAGTTCTTCCCTTACAAGCAAATGCAGGGGATGGGTATGGTCGGGCTTCGTGGGGTGGAGGTAGGGGGTGATGAGGACTATAATAATGTCGGTATAGCACTCAACATGGTTCTCAGTGCTTATTAACGCTTGGTTTCATCCAGAGACTGCTGCCTTGAACCTGGCATGACCTTTTAAAGTACTTAACACTCTGTGCCCTTCTGCGAATCTCTCCTAAGGACATATCACTATGTGTGAAGACTTCATTCTGGAGTTGGTCACTACAGTGATGACTTGGAAACAGCCAGTGATAGGCAATGGTTCCGTTAAGTGATGGCACATTGAACGACAGAGGATTAGGTGGACAGTGAACAGGAGGAAGGAGAGTAGGTTAACTGTAGGAAAAAGATGTTTGTAATATACTGTTCAGTGAAATAGCAATTATAACTTACATGTCATGTTTGATGGCATGTTTGTAAGCATGTGGTTGTATATATATGAAGAAATTCAAGATTGTGCCCTGGTTGGTGTGGCTCAGTGGATTGAGTGCTGGCCTGTGTACCAAAGGGTTGCTAGTTCGATTCCTAGTCAGGGCACATGCCTGGGTTGCAGGCCGGGTCCCCAGTAGGAGGCACACAAGAGGCAACCACACCTTGATGTTTCCCTCCCTCTCTTTCTCCTTCCCTTCCCTTCTCTCTAAAAAAATAAATAAATAAAATCTACAAAAAAAGAAATTCAAGATTGTTTAATGTGAAGGAAGTACTTTAATGTTAGAGAATAAAGCAGGACTGGAAAAAAAAGAGAGATAAACTCCATGCTGCATTTCAGGGACATCCTTCCTGGTAAATTCAAACTTTCAAATGACTGTAGCTGTCCAAAAAGAGAATGGACTACTCCACAGGTAGTGAGCTCCCTGTCAGTGGGGGAGTTCAAGGATGAGTCTTGGCAAGGAGTATGGAGGGGATAAAAGAATAAGGAATTAGGTGAGAGGATCTTTACATTTCTCACTCTGGGCCACCACTCTCGCCGCACAGTGTCTGACCCTGAGATCTGGGCTGTGCGAAATGTGGTCATGATTAGCAAATAAATGTATACAGGAATGATTTGCCTGCTTTATATGCAAACATTGGTCTATTAAGTGGTGTGAGAATTATGAACTTAATGAGTGCTTCACGCAGGTTGGGACACACAATCGAAGAGACACATCAGATTACACCTGATCCATGTGCCTTTTAAGTAGTAGGGAGAGCATTATACAAACAGACTCTGAGAAGATGATTAGGAGACTCGCTTTTCAACCCTGAGCCTGTGGCATCTGAGTAGAGAAAACATTGCAAAACTTTGAAGCTGATTGGCACCTATTTCCTTTTCAAAACTGCTGCGAGGCCCAGAGCCCAGTGTACTCTGGTTCCCAGAGCGCCAATGAACACTGCAGGCCCATGGAATTCTGGGGGAAGTAAGAGAGTCGAGGCCCGTGTATTGTCTGGCAGCGGTTAAGGAGGTTATTTGGAAAAGATGCTTCCTAAACCAAGTCCCGTGGAGACCAAAGGTGTTGTCCGGAAGGTGGGCAGAGAGAGGGAACCGGGTGTCCACATGCGTGAAGACCAGAGAGAACACGGTACAGTCAGAAGCAAGGAGAAAGCTCAGCCAGGCAGCAGAGCTACACGGGTGTGTGGAAGCTCAGGAGGTGGGAGGTGAGGCTGGAGAGGTCAGGGAGGGCCAGATCATTGGCCTCACCTGGCCTGCTGGATACGGTCAGACCCAGGCTTGGCGCTGGTAGCTCAGGCATGTGTTCCTGTTTGACAGGCAGATACTTTAAATGTAGAGGGGGAGGGGAGAGTATATTTCCACCGGGGAGCCAGGGAATGAGTCTGCAGAGTCTTTCCTGGTTCTCCATTCCTCCCTTCAGCATTCCCCCCCCAGGGCTTCAACCAAAATGCAAGGTTTGTGTTGTGGCCACACGTGCAAATCGCCACCTTGTGGACAACACAGGGATTGCAGATCTAGAAGTTCCTTATTTATTAAATACATATTTTCCAATAATTGTAATAGGTCAAAGTGCTTGGTAAGGCGCTTTGGGTCCAGAGGGGAGGAGACATGAGTACAGATAATCACCGAATGCTCAAAGGTGTGAGTCTGCCAGAAGCAATGGGGCAAGTGAGGGAAGTTGGGGAGGCTGCCCAGAGGTGACATGAGCTGCGTCACAGAGGAAAAAGGGTCTTCAGAAATCACCTCTGACGTCCTCACTTTACACAGAGGGTGACTGCAGCCGAGGATAGGATGGGCCTCAGTCAAAGCCACAACATAGCTTTTCAGGGCAGCACTAGGGCAGGGTTCAGGGTGCCCCGACCCAGGAACCACCTGGCCCTCCTTGTGGCTGGCCTTCGGTTTCAGTGGGTCCCCCTCCTGGTGCCCTAGAAGTGGCCTCCGCGGGGTCTGGTCTGCTGCTCTGTCTCTGCCCAGCTGTCCCACCTCAGCCGTTTGTCCAGCCTGCCTTCTGCCACACCGATCTCGCCCCTCGCTCTCTGTATTTCATCAGAGATCGATTGAGAAGCACAGAACCCCTCTCTAGGGCGGGCTCTGTGCCCTAGCCCAGATCTCGGCCAGCCTGGGAAGAGGGCTCAAGATGGGTCCCTGGAGTGTCTTCCTCAGGGACCAGCATACTTCTTGGCCCCTGGGTATGTGGTAAATGTCTGTGACATAAATAAACGAGCCAGGACAGTGGAGGTGGGCGGCGCCTGAGAGGTCAGCCCAGCCTTCCTGTGCACTGATCCAGAGCTGAGTCCGGTCCAGGAAGATGACCTGGGGCCACATCACAAAGGTCACTGAATGCCTGGCTCAGGAGCTTGTCTTTGTTCTGCCTGCAGGAGGAGCCAGCTCTGCACACAACAGGATCGGAATGCAGGTCAGTTTCAATCTTTTTCAAAGGGAGAGAAAAGGTTCATAGTCAAGGGTCATACCCACCCCAGAAAGCCGCCAATATGACTTAATGGAGAAATTGCACTAGGTCTTCCATATACCTGGGTTCCTTTGTTTCTAAGTTTAATAATTAAGCCGTATGTCTGTAGAGTAAAGAGAGGTTGTCCAGTGATAAGTTCCCAACTGCCTGGGAGACAGGCACAGCCTTTGGGATGAACTGCTGGATTTCCTTCTGCCACGTCACCAGAACTGAACCCTGCTGAATTCAGGGCTCGAACACAGGAGCCCTTTCTAAGCTGGGTCCTGGAGTGGTCAGGCATCTCTGTTTCTTCGCTCCTCGCCAGCCGGCTGCAGCGTCATCTCCTGGGTCCTGGGAAGAGGTCTCCAGGGGAGAGCTATAGGGCTCTGCTCAGTAACCTGGACGAGTGCAGGACAAGCATTCAAATGCCCCAAAGCTTCAGAAAGGAATTAAGGTGCAGTGGGTAGGAGGAGTGATGTTTAGAAATGCTCCAGTAGGCAAGACGGGTGGAGATAAAGCGAATGCTGACCTGTTCTCCAGATCATAGTAAGTTCTACCTTTGGGTTCGATTCCAAACAGAGAGTATGAGAGTGGGAAAATGAAATCTGTCACACAGGTTTGACCTCAGGTTCCAAAGGGGTCATTCTGGAGCATGGTAGCCCTGAGAGGTGAGTCTTGGTTCATGTGGGTGAAATGTTGCTGACC